TTTTTTTTTTTTTTTTTTTAATATATGTCTTTATTGGTTTCAGAGAGAGGGGGAGAGAGAGAGAGAGATAGAAACATCGATGGTGAGAGTCATTGATTGGCTGCCTCCTGCACGCCCCCTGCAGGGTATTGAGCCCAAAGCCAGGCATGTGCCCCGACCAGGAATCAAACCGTGACCTCCTGGTTCTTCAGTCGATGCTCAACCGCTGAGCCGCGCCGGCTGGGCTCCTACAGTCCTTTTTCAGGACCTGGCTTTCTACAACAGAAACAGACTCCTCTACAGTTTCCTAGCAGGCCCTACTTAGCAATTCTGTTACCTTGTTCTCAGAAACCAGTAGGTATATTAGTTATAGTCGGTTTGAATAGCCAGGATTATATGTTCTAACAGTTAAATTCCTTTGCGAACCCATCAGGGTCCTGGAGAAAATCAGGAACAGTTGCTGGTTCCTCTCTGGCTGAGACCAACTTTCTCCAAAGGGAATTGTTAGAATTCCTACTCTTTTTTTCCTTAAGCCAGAGGCCAGCTGTAGTGGAGGAGACAGAGGGGAAGGAAGAAGGGAGGCGAAGGGCAAGTCCCGACAAGGACACTCAGAGAGCAAAGGACGCAGTGGAGGAGCCATGGAAGGGGGAGCAACGGGGCGTCGGCATTGTTAGCTTCAGAAGAGTTCAGTGCCTGACGACGTTTGACCCAAGGTTATCATTAAGTCCATCCACGTTAATTCATAGGCCAGGATATGTGTTGGAAGGCGCCCATACAGGCATCTGGGTAGCAGAGTAAATCCCGAGACCTGCCTTAATTTGTTTTAATTCTACAAGTGAGATGGTTAATGGACAGGCTGTGGGCCACCTTCCCCTGGCGCCTCCAGCAGGGGCAGACCCTGGCAAGGAAGGGTGGGGGCGGCTTTGGCCTTTCTGGTTCCAATGGCTGGGAGGCTTCTTTGGGTATGGAGGCAGGGCTGGGCAGAGAGAAGGCCTCGGCAACTGAATGAGGGTGCAGCTGGGGGAATGCTGTGGGCTGTTAGCGCAGGGTTGCGAGACAGGGTCTTGTTTGGCTGTATTACAGCCAAGGTAGTCAATTTAGATTTCTGGAGGAGATCCTCCAGTTCTCGTAATAGGAGACATGTCTGGACCTAAGGAGTTTCTGACCACTGGCCCTGTGAGTTGCAGAAAAGACCTAATTAAAAGATGGTGTTGTGATTAATGCTCCCGTTTTGAGGCCATGACTCCCTATCCAGGAGCTTATATTGTGGCTAAACCAAATTACAATAGAAAATTAGTCTTCCCTTTTTAAAGGTCTGGGGGTACCCAGTTAGCCAAAATACAGGCCAGGGAACTCCCATCCAGCATGGAAGGTTGATTTCCCATCTGGAGGTTAGGAATTAGAGAGCCCAGCGTCCTGGGGTAAATTCTGGAGCCTGGCATCCCAGGGCTCGAGGCGAGGGCTAGAGTCTGACATCTCAGGCCTCTAGCGGGGATGAGAGACAGAGGGCACCATGTAATTGCACCAGAGCCTTGGAGGATGGGAAACAGACCTCACCAGGTGACGGCTGCCTCCACAGACCCGGGTGCGGCAGGATATGCCTAGGAACCCAGGAACGGGCACGTCTGCTCGACAGGGCCAAGGGGCAGAAAAGGGGGCTGGTCAGGGCTAGTGTGTCCAGAGATCAGGGTGGAGGGGCTTTGTAGATAGAGGAGGGTGTGCTAAAAGGTTCTTAAAGTAAGTAAGGTAGTGGCTGGTAGATGGAAGGACTAACAGTTTGAGGTAAAGTGAGGGCGCCCTTTACCTCCCAGCTGTCTTGTGCTTTGGACTTCTCCGTAGTATCTTGCGGTCTGTGTGTTTCCTGTTCCTCTGATGATGTCTAGGCCCTTTCCGCAGAACCCCTCTAGGATCCACTTCGACACGGTGGACCTCTGTTCTGAGGGTTTTTACACCGTCCAGGTTGTGGGAAGGCTGCGCCAGCCATAACCCATGATGCTGCAGAAATTCTGCTGGGCTACTTCCCACCAAGGGCTGTAGAGCTCGACCCAATAAAACCCTGAGGTTCTGTAGGTGACAGACGAAAGGATTTACCCGGCAGGCCTAGCTGGAAGGGGACAGGTAGATTTCCCATTTTAGAACGGACTCAGGGATATTACTTGCCCTGCCGCTTTGGGGTTCCATGCAAAGCAAATGCCTAAATAGATGTGGAAGGCCTCCAGGGCTGAGTAGAAAAGTACATAATAAGGACCCTGGGGTAATTCCAAAATATGCCCCATAGTTACAAATTAGACATCTGTTCCTTCTATCAGCTCATTCCAGATATTGAGAAAAGGGTTTCAAGGCTATGAGGTCAGGAGTTAGTCTAATAAGGGTGGGGTGAACGGTTCCTGTTTCCCAGGGAGCCTGTATCTGCTGGATGGAGGAAATGTGCTGTAGTGGGCTGCACTGGGAGACCCGAAAAAGCCAAATGGAGAGCGTTAGTATTAGATTCTATATTTTTTCCTGCAAAGAGTGGGGCATGAACCATCTCCACATGCAGGTTATCAGGTGCCGATTTAAAGAGCGAGGCCAGTGATGTTCCCTGCAGTGTCCTAGGGCACAGGTAAGGCGAGGAGGTTCTATTTTCAGTCCTAGAAAGTGATTCCTGCCTAATGGAGTTCCTGTACAATTGGGAACCCGGCGACAAGTGCAGCAATGTCCCTGGATTCAATAGTAGCATAGAGACAAGCAAGAGTATAGGTGAGGAAGTCCAGCTGGGCAGGCAAGGTGTATTAAATCGCTACAACACATGGACTCTAGGGTTGTATGCCAAGAACGTGGGTGCTGGAGAGGCATAACTGTGAGCGGAATTCTTCGGGGGTCAATGTCCAAGCTTTGGCGTCAGTCCATCACCAGGCACCATCACCAGGCTCATTTAGTTTTCCGCTCACAGGCAGTCACCCCTCTTTAAATAGAATTGCTGCCTCGCCCTCCTGATCCTGCACCAGAAGGAAAAGTAAAGCAGCCTTTTCTCGGGCATCGTGGCCGGAGGACTTACAGTTTGTGACTCGAGTCAGGGCACCAAAGAGATGTTACCCAGGACCAAGGTGACGAGGAGACCTCGGCTCTTGTCTTCTTGAGGGAAGGTTCAATCAAGAGACAGAGTGCAGGAAAGCCCGCAGGAATTTACTAACTGTTGCAAAAACATCAGGGGGTCCCTTAGAGGTTAGGGGTACGTGTCTGTGGGGGATGGGGGTGGATGGGTGTGGTATGGGCGCTCCCCAGAGGGAGAGCCCTCTTGGATCTTCATTTTCAGGGGTTTTAAAGGCTGGGTGTTTGGGGGAGGTCTTAGGGGAGAATCTATAGAATATTCATCAGCTTTATGCTGATGAGCCAAAATGAGATTTATTCTCTTAATTTGTCTGTCCTGGGGCGTGGTTGGCAAATGGCACTGATTGGATTTCTGCTGTCTGTCTCCCTGAGTGGGGTGATTTAAGGGGTTTACCCTCTATTTGGGGAGGAGTGCAAACCATTTCCTCTTAAGACACCTTGGTTTAGGGAAGAAAGGGTTTACTAGGTGGCTGTAAGCTGCTGTTTAACTGTNCATTTCCTCTTAAGTCACCTTGGTTTAGGGAAGAAAGGGTTTACTAGGTGGCTGCAAGCTGCTGTTTAACTGCCTGANTAAGCTGCTGTTTAACTGTCTGCCTCAGTTTCCCTATCCTGAAATTTTCCTAGCTTCTTACTGTTCTATATCAAGTTTATTTTCTTTTATCTTTTTAATATTATTGTTTGCTCAGGACTTTACTTGGCCTGACAGTATTCCCTCACCCAGTGGTAACTAACCTACTACAGATGAGTCTGTCTGTCCTTGAACTTAAATGGAACCATACGGTGTGGCTCCTTTCACTCATCCTCGTGTGTGGGATTCGCTCTGATGTTGTATATGCCGGTAACTCATGCTTGTTTATTATTGAGTAGTATTTTATTGTGGTAATTGATCACAGTTTATCTATCTATCCTTGGTTGTTTCCATTTGGAAATATTGTGAATAGAGCCGCTATGTGCATATCTTTGGACAGGCATGCATATTTATTTCTGTTGGAAATATGCCCAGGAGTGAAATTGTGGTCCATAAGTGCCTTAGTAGGTGTCACCAAATAGTTCTCCAAAGTGAAGTGCAAACTTACATGCTCACCAGCTCTTATTCTAGTTGGAAGGTTCCGGTTGCTCCATGTCCTTTCCAATGTGTTGCATTGTTGACCTTTTAGATGTTAGCCAGTTCACTGTGTGCAGCAATCCTTTGAAACAGCATTTTCCCCACTGCGCAAATGTAGAAGCTGTAGCTGTGGAGGTTAACTCACTCGGGCAAGGACACACATGCATCCAGCATTTGCGTCACGTTCTGGGTCACTGCCATGCCTAAGAGCCTTCAAGGGTCCTAGTTGCTCAACACATAAAATCCAAATTTCTCTTCCAGAAGTTAAGGTCCTCTCGATCTGATCTTGTCTCCCAGCTCCTTCTGCTTGCCCTGTGCTTGTCACTGTGAAATAAGCTTGAAGCACTAAAATGTCTCATTCAATCCTCCCAGCAACCAGATGAAATAGGTCACATTACAATCCTTGTTTTACAGAGCTGGGACTGGAGGTGTAGGGAGATTAAGCGACTGGTCCAAAGCTACACCATCAGTAAGAGGCAGAGGCAGGATTTGAACCAGGCAGACTAACTCCAGGAAACACCCTGGAAATCTAACACTGTGCTGTAAGAGCCTGGTGGGGAAGCCAGCTACAGGGGACTTTAGGAGCATTTCCTCTCTGCCTGCCTGCTCAGCCCAGGCTGCCCTTGCAGGACCTGGTTTAAAATCTTTCTCATTATCGCAGGCACATCACCTTTCTTTCTATAAGTAGGTTTGAGGGCTCCAGTACGAGGCTCAGTTCCAGGCATTCGGTATCTACTGGGTAAACAGGACATCTGGCTCATGCACACAGGCCAGGACTTGAGGCAGACTGCTGGGGGAGTGAAGAGGCTATGGATGCGAGGGGCTGGCACTGAGACACTGGTCGAGGGAAGACCGACATCCACTTGTAACAACCGTAGGAGTAGGCTGAACATCACTCCACCTAGTTGTTGGCGTGGCTATGCAGAGTGATTAATTTTCAAGTTCCAGGCTGTCATCAGGATAGAGCAGTACCTCAGGCAGCAGCTGGACACTTTGGGGCTAGGACCAATCTCCAGACAGAGTGACTTGGCACAGCTGATTAGGGGAGCTGAGCCCTGGGGGACACTAGTGTGGAGCCAGGATAGAGACTCAGCTGTGTGACTGAGGCCAGGTGCCCAGGTAGGGAGACAGGACTCCTGGCTTGTAGGGAGGGGGTCCTCAAGTTCTGCCAACCCTAGACATAGATAAGCAGAGGCAGGGCCTGGAGCTGGGAGCAAGTGCTGGGCAGTGAAAGGCTGAAGCTGACCCAGACTTACAAGTTCCTTGAGCACAAAAGCCATATCGAATCATATAGAAGCAACATGGGAATACGGGAAAGATGGCAGACTCTATAGCCAGGTTGCCTGGAGTCAGTCAACTCCTGGCTCAGCTCCTTACCCACCGGCTGACCTTTGGCAAGTGATTTAATCTTTCTGTGCCTGTGTTTTCCCATCTGCAAAAGAGGGGTAAACATAGGACCTGCTTCAGAGGGTTGTTGTGAGGTGAAAAGAATTCGTGTGAAGCCTGTAGACCAATACCTGTGTGTGCGAAACCCTTGCCAGTCCATGCCCAGAACCTCATGCCAGCCCAGTCTCAGGGGTCCTGCAGTGAGGCATCTGGCTAGAGTCTCAGAAAGGTGGCCTTCCTCCTAGATTTCCAATGCTCTGGCTCCCACACACACCTCTCATCAAGTGCACTCTCAGCCCCCAATAGGTTATGGAGACGAGGCCTGGGAACAGACTTTCCCAGCCAGCGTGCTTCAGTTCCTCAGCCTGGTGCATAGCACCTACCCCCAGGACCCGGCCTGGCGCACCCCTGAGTTCCTGCAGACCTTGGCTGCCATCACCTTCCCCCTGGGAGCCCACAAGGTAGGACACCCACTGCCCTGCCCCAGTGAAAGCAGGGGCCAGTGGTGCCATCCTTCAGGAGCAAAGAGCTAAATTCCTCCCCACCCCAAATGAAATACACTTAAGGCACTGTGGCTGACACAGCAAGTAAACAATCTGGGTAATTTTTCCTTCTCAGCTGAGATGCAGCTTGAGGTCACTTTCAACTCAAATTCAGTAATTTCTTCGAGTTGTTAGGAATTTCAGTAGTTCGATGGCAGATCAAGTCCAGTTCTATGTGGAAGACCCTCCCAGGCTGAGGCGGGTGGGAGTGGGGGACGGGAGGACTGTCCTCTGCTTTTTATTCTCAGGACCCTCCCCCAGTCTGCAGGCCACAGCTCGGGACTCCTTGAAGTCAGAGGGTGGCCGAGGGTGCTGAGGGACGGGCTGTCTTAGGGACGAGGTGTGAGTGTGGGGGCAGAGAAGGGGCTGTGGGAAGAGATGTGAGTGAGTTTGAGATGGAGAGCCGGTCCCCGCAGGCCAAGGGGGCTCTGGGCTGAGAGAGTCTGGGAGCCAAGAGGAGCAGGGGAAGACAGGTGCGAAGGGCAGAAACCTGCTTGTCACCCGCCCTTGGTGGTGTAGGAAGCTGGGACCAGGACAGGAGATGTGCACTAGGGACACCTGTCTGCCAATCTGTCGTGGCAGCTGCAGGAGCATGCTACAGGCAAGGAATGGCAGGGAGGGGCTCAGACGCCAGGCCAAGCACAGGGCACAGCGTCTACTTGCTCTGTAGTTATGTGCTGACCAAATGAGTGAGCAGAGGAGCTCTTTTAGCTGATCTGTTCCGGAAGTGTATTCACAGCGACAGCCCCCATCTACTGAGCGTCTGCAATGGTCCTGAGCGTGGGGGTCACATGACCCCGTTGGCACCCTGCACAAGTGGTGTGTGCTAATCGGGAAGGGAGAGTCACAGCAGTGACACGAGCTGGCCAGTGTCCTGTGGGTGTAGTGGGGGCCTTAGGACCTAGCCTACAAAACGGTTGAGGGAGTGAAATACACCGCAGTTTTGTGATTAGTAAGTAACAGAGCCAAGATTTAACTCTCCCCATAGCCCCTTCTCTACCCCCAACACTCTCACTGGAGAGCCATGCCCTTTCCATCACCATCAGTTTAAAATCAAATCAAATGTCCAAATAAAATCCAGGAGCAATTTGTTTTAATAAAGGGACTAAATATAAAGACTAGATTTGCAAAAAGATGAAATGGTTTGTTGGGTTAACATCAACTAACTAACATACTAGAAAAGTAAGAGTAGAGCAAAATACGCCCTGGAGGGGGTGGGGGAGAGGACACCACGCACACACGGAGGCCAGGCAGGGAGGCAGGACAGCCCCACAGGCTGACCCTCACCATCCCCCGCACGAGCCCCTAGAGGCATCCAGAGCCCTGGAATCCTCACGCTTCCAGCCTAGGTCCCTGCCCCAGCCGCTGCACAGTGCGCGGGGCTCGCCGTCTGCTGAGTCGGGTTCCAGCTGGCTGCCCGCCAGCACCTGGGGCACACTCTGACCCACAGCTTTCCCTCCCAGCACCCAACGGCTCCTGCCTGGGGGAGGATCTGCTCAAAGTCACCTCCCCAGCCGAGCTCTGATGAGCCAGGCCCTGACCCCCTGACATGGGGCCCAGCTCCAGTTCCTAAACACTTAGCCCACACCCCCGTGCCTGTCCCAATTTCAAGTTGGCTCCAAAAGGCCTTTATTGCATAGAAAACATGACCGGTCCTCTTTCTGCAGAAAGTTGGTGGCCAAAGGCTTTGGCTTGCTATGGATTTATACCGTATATTTCCAGTTGAGACCACACAGAGCTAATTAATGCAGCCGCCACCTCCCTAGGCACCATTAAAATCCATTTTATGGCTTAATTAAGAATGGTCGCATTAATTTTATGAATGAGCAAAGGGAGGGGCCAACAGATGAATGCTCATGGAATGTCACCGACTGGGAGCTAGGCGTCCCTGGCCGTGTATCCTTGGGCATGTCATTCGGCCTCCTAGCATCTCTGTATTTCTGGGTGTAGCTGGGTTAATGACACCCGTCTCATTACCTCCCTGTGTTAATGGGACTGAGAAGGCCGAGGTACTTCAGGGACTTCAAGGCCAGGACCTGCTGAAGCCCTACGGCCTCTTTCCACAGTAAGGTCCTACCTGTCATCATTACAAAGCCTGGCGGGCGGGAGATATGAGGGCCTCCAGAGGTGAGAACCAGCTCTGTGACCATGTGCCAGGATCAGGCACAGTGGCATGAACCATTCTTTCATTTGAGCTCACACATCTCTGTGACGTCCTTTTAGTATCTCCATTTGCCTGCTGAGAACTGTGGCTCTAAGGAGGAGACAACTTGCCCAGGACACATTCCAGGCCTCTCTGCTGAGCCCTGCAGTCCACTCCTGCTCCATGCTCAGCTTCTCCCCACCACTTCTGCCTCTCTTGGGTTCAGGGACCAGAGCAGGCACCCTATGAGCTACGAGATTCTGGGCAAGTCACTTACTTTTGCGGATCCTCAATTTCCTTACATGCTAGTGGGTTTGATCGGAATCTCACCCACGCACCTCAGGGGAAGGTAGGACAGCACTTTGACGCATTGTGGGCCACTCACACTGGGTTCTCCTGTCTTTGAGGGGGTCACGGCTGAGTCCTCCCAGAATGTCAGTGGTCCTGGGGCTGAGGCTGAAGACAACAGCATTGTGGAGGGACTACAGGCACCTGCCAAGTCACATCCCACACGGAAACAGCTAAGGGCGTTCATGAAGCTGCTCTTGAGGGAGCTCTTGCTTGCAGCTTCCAGCCCCAAGCAGTGGCTGCCTCTGGAGGTGCTGCTGGAGGTGAGTGCACAGGAGCCTGATGGGCCGCGTGCTGTGGGAGGGCACTGGCACCGCGAGGGTGGCTCTGTGCAGGGAGACCCGAGGGCTGGTCTCCTGGGACTTCAGTGATGTGGTGGGGGGGAGCACTCCAGGAACTGCAGGTCCTGGCAGAGCAGGGGCATACCAGCAGCGAGGGAACAGATGGAGGGCAGGTCTTAGCCAGGTTTCTAGAAGCAGAGCCTGACACAGGGATTGTGTAGAAGTAACTTATTAGGGGCTGTGCTCTTAGGGGAGTTTGAGAAGACATGCAAGGAGGCCGAGGGGGAAGCTAGCCAGGACATGGTCTCAGCCACAGCCTGGTGTGGGAGCGTTGGTGTGCTATCTGCACCCCAGAGTTGGCCCCACCTTGAGGCATCTGCCAGGTGGTCATTGTCTGTGGACCACCCCAACTTGCCTTCTCACCCCAGGAAGTAGACATCACCTCCTAGATGAGACTTGGTCAGCAGGAGGCAATGCCTTGGAGAAGGGGTAGTTGTGAGCTGTTGGCAGCCCACAATCCCAGCAGTTATGGTATTAGCATTCAGGCCAAGCAAGGGGACCTGGTGGGCACTGAGTGGCCATGGTGACTATGTGGCTATTGTCTGAGTTCCGGGTGTGATTCCAGGCTTCTCCAGACAATGCCACCAGTCAACAGAAGCGAGACTTCCAGTCTGAGGTCTTGCTCTCCACCATGGAAATATTTCACGTAATGAGTGGAGGTGACACGTCGATGCTCAGAGGTGAGTGGGGTGACTTGCTCCTCACTGCTATGACAGGAAGCTGCTGACAGCTGAGCAGGAAAGCCAGCATGTTCCTCCCACTGCTGACCCCAGGCTCCTGGAGGAGGCCTGGTCCTCGTGCTACAGGACGCGCTAGGAACCACAGGAAGGTGCTCTCTGCAAATCTGCAGTAAGAGCTCACAGGTCCTGCCTGCAGGCCCCGGGAGGGCGTGCTTGCTTCTCCCCATGACACCTCTGCCGTCACTGGGCCGCTTGGAGACAGAAAGTCCTTCCGCCCTGTGAGCTAGCCCGGTTCTCCACTTCCAGTGGAATTGGGCCCTCTTTCCCCCAGGGAAGCCGAGGTGCCAGCTGGAATTCAGCACTCCTGCTCAGCATCTTATCCTCTGCGGCTAAGCCTGGGCACAGCAAATATTTCCCAAACAAACGAACCCAATGGAGACACTGCCATTGCCCCTAAGAACTTCAGATTGATGCTCCATTCAGAAGACTTAGTTCCCGGGAAGCCTTACCTCCCCAGCAAGATCAAACCAAGTCCTTCCTGTGGTTTCTGAGCCATGAAATCCTTAGTGACCTAGCCCATCTTATGGACTCCTCCTTGCCCCACAACACAGGAACCTGACATACTGGTTTTTCTTGGGGAGTATCTGAAGTGTGGTGGAGTAGAGGGGTGGAAAGTGTGAGCTTGGGAGTCCCAGTTCTGATCTTGGCTCTGTCACTGCACGTGGTGTGGCTCTGGACAGGTGTCTGAGCCTGTGAGTGAGACAGCAATCCTGGATGACTCCGAGGGCTGTTATTAGGGTTAGCTGGGATCGCAGCATCCATGTCATGTTGGCGGCAAGGATAAAGGATCCGCAGGAGAGCTTTATCCCCTGCCCGACATAGCGGTAGGGCCCGAGGTCACCACCACAGTCTTCCTGTTGCCTGATGCCTAAATTTCCCTCCACCCTCCTTCCAAATGACCCCGCACTTGCTTCCTCTCCACTTGGTTCATATCACTGACTAGATAGTTCAAGGCCAATTTATTTTGAATAAATGAGTCCTCATTGGACACCTGTGTGTAAGACCCCATCTTCAGAGCGCTGGGGTATACAGAGGGCTACAAGGGGGCATACGGAGGTGAGTGGGATGTAGTTGGTTACCAAGAGGGATTAGAGGCTATTGTGGAAAGAAGGCATTCAGATTCTGATTATTTCTCAAACTCAGCCTGTCTCCTCACCCCACCTTAGGCAGTAAAGAGCCTCAGCCAAATGAAGAAGCTGCTGCTGCTCCTTCACTCACGAACATCTCCTACTTCACCCAGAAGCTGGTAGAGAAGCTGTACAGTGGGATGTTCTCAGCAGACCCCAGACACATCCTGCTCTTCATCACAGAGCACATCGTGCTGGTAAGAACCCAGGGCTGCGCATGGAGGCATGGAAACTGCTGGCCGACATGCTGCTCACAGGGGGTCCACAGGGGCCTGCTGCCCTTCCCGGAGGAGGATCTGGGATGGGTGGGAGGAAGGAGGGGCACCTTTGTGCCCAGGCAATACCTGGTGGCTGTTGAGGGCCCTGCAGGCTCTCACCTCAGGCCACCTGAGATCCATCTCAGTGGTCAGGAGCCGTGGTCCCCTGTGCCGGCGGCATCTGAGTTCTGTCCCCTTCCAGACTCTACACACCTCCTTTGGGTTTTTATTGTGATTGTTGGTTTCATCTTAATTGTTAGTCTTCATCAACAGAGAAAGGGCCCAAAATGTCTTTATCTCCAAAAGACCTATTTCGTTTTCTTCTTTAGTGCTCACCTCCATTTGTCGTCTTTGGGCCTTCCTGAAATCGAGGCCCGAGTCTATTTTTACCCAGGCCTATTGCTCTTCCATGTGCTCTCTCCAGATAGACCCACCCCCCCATACATACAAATACACGCCTGTAGATACACTGTCAGTGTAAGTGTGTGTGTACATGTGTGCAGATTCTCTATTGTACACACACAGACTTGTACCATCTCAAAATCTGAGAGTTGCACTATTTTTTGGTCGCTCTCTCCCATTTCATTCCGGAAACCTTTCTGTCAACTGGCCATTCGCTCNGTACATGTGTGCAGATTCTCTATTGTACACACACAGACTTGTGCCATCTCAAAATCCGAGAGTTGCACTATTTCTTGGTCCCTCTCTCCCATTTCATTCCGGAAACCTTTCTGTCAACTGGCCATTCGCTCTTTCCTTGAACCCCCCTGCGCAAGGAGCTCACTCTGGTACAAGGTGGCCCCAGCCGGTGGGACACCTGCGATTGTCAGAAAGCGCTTTCCCTGACTCAGCTGAGCTCTGCCTCCAGCACCTCCTGCCAGCAGCTCTTGGCGTGTCCTCTGCAGCAGAACCCAGGAGAGCCACTGTCCTTCTTCATGCCTCACAGGGCTAGTGACATCGGCACTCCAAGCGCCCCTCTGCCTGTGGAGTTACCTGTAGACTCCAGGACAGCTCCTAGGGTGGCAGTCAGCCTGGCTGATACGCAGCTCCAGGCCAGCCTGAAAAGAATGTATTCAGAGCCTTTTTCAAGAAAAACTCCAAAAAGAACTCTCTCTTGTCAGCTCTGAGAAGGTTAAAATCAGATTCCTGGGAAGCTGTGTTGAGAACAAAAGGAGCTGCTGAGCTCCCGGCTTCATTCGGCTGCTGCAACCCTCCCACAGGCTAGGTGGCTCGACGGCAAACGGCGCTTCCTCACGGTGCTAGAGGCTGAGAAGTCCAAGATCAAGGCACAGCAGATCTGGTGTCTGCCGAGGGCCCTCTTCCTGGTGCATGTGGCCATCTTATTGTGCCCTCATATGATGGAGGGAGGGGGAAAGTCTCTCCCTGGCCTCTCCCTGTCCCTGTAGGAATCCCATCCTGAGGTCTCTACCCTCATGGCTAATCACTTCCCAAAGACCCCACCTCCTAACACCATCGCACTGGGAAGCAGTTTCAACATATGAAGTTTGGGAGGAGACACAAGCATTAAGCGGTCCGAGCAAATACTCAGAGCTAATACTGAAGAGGGTGCCTGCTGGGCTGGTGTGCCTGCAGGGCCAGGCCCAAGGACTCTCGTTTGGACCCTTCTGTCCTGCTGTGACCCTCATGGACACTTAACCTCAGTTTGAAAGACGTGACCGATCTGAGGAGCAGGAGGAGACTATGATAAAAGCATGAATCCCAAATTACAGCAGATTTAAATGGAACTAACTTCATTAGTCTAAATACTTGCAGTACCCATAAAATTCCAAGAGCACAATCTATAACTAATAAAGGACCTTTCTAATAGACTGGAAAATGTTGCACGTAATTTTTGTTCTATGGATTTTTTTGATGAAGCCAAATAAATGGCTAGGCTGATTAGTGTTAAGGCTACAAATCAGGACCTTCTGCCTTCCCCATAAGAGCTTCATATGCTGAACTTCTCTAGACTCGTCTCCTTTAGATGATACGGTGGTTAAGAGCATGGCCCAGGGGCCTGGTGTGGGTTCCACCCTTGCTGACCAGTTAGCCCCTTTACCCTCAGTCTCCTTATCTCTAAAGTGGGATGATCTCCTCTGGCCTGGTGGCTCAGGTGGTTGGAGCATCGTCCTGCACACCGAAAGGTTGCGGGTTCCATCCCTGGTCGGGGTGCGGGCGGGAGGCAGCTGTTTGATGTTCTCTCCCCCCCTCTCTCTCCCTCCATCTCTCTC